CTTAAGGGTATACACTAAACCTTAAGGGTATACACTAAACCTTAAGGGTATACACTAAACCTTAAGATACTTATAATTTATGTAAGTGTTATCTCCATTTTTAAATTGGTTTAATTAGTATTTAACATGTAAGAATAACCAGGGAGATGTAAACATGCATTTTAGAATAACTTACAAAAATCTAGGTAAGAATTATCACTCATTGGACATTGTGTTGACTGGAACTCTTATCGAAAGGAGATTCAAAATGCAACATATACCATCAATGTAAGATTAAGTTCACCGATATTTTCACAAATATTAACAGGAGTATATGACATTTCCCCATAAAATCAAAACATTTTTAAATTGCCCGCCAGGTTTTAGCCTACCATAAACAGATGTCGGACTGTTCATATTGCAAACGCTTTAAGTCTGTTGTTAGGAGTCCGTCGGTCATGTGGTCAGCCTGTTTACAATTTTGTCGCTATTTCTCAGAAACTACTTCATGGATCATTATGAGATATATTAATATTAATGATCCCCTTTTATCTGTATTTGTGTTGCTCGAAGTTGAGATGGTAAGAAAAAGCAAAATAATCTTCAGGCTGCGGCCATCTTGGATTGTAATTGTCAAGATAGTTTTCTTCATCGCAGGAAAAACTGACGAAATCGTAAAGAAGTTTGGTCCCTATTTTTGCCTGCTTCAGATGCGGTCGATTTGTGTTAAAACTTTTACTGTTATGTATCATATAACAAAGTCCCTCAACGATCCTTGCTGATTAAAACAATGCAAGAATCACAACATCAAAGCGGCACCAAATAACAACGAAATACTTGAAACATCGGCATGATCTTCAATATGATGAAGTAGGTTGGTTAACAAGTAGATGTATAACAACGAAAATAAGACTGCTCAAAATCCAATTTAATAAAACTCAAGTAATGACATGCTTGTTTTCACGAGTCTAGTTGATTTACAATACTTTATATATTTGTACATGAAAGTCATACAAAACAGCTCAATCTCGATTAAAATGTTTTCACAATGGAAAATAATTCTAATGATTTAAAGTACAGCTTAAAAAATGTCAAGGGTGAAATAACCACTTGTGTGCAAACATAGCTGAATGTTGAAGACAACAAGAGAATACCGTAGTGACAACAAAAATAAAGTTCAAACTCAAAATCGATAAAACTAGTACAAAATTTGAACAAATGAAATATTGACATGGAGACCTTATGCAATAATTATTGCACCGATTGATGGATTTGCATTTTCTATACAAGTAAATAATTGATATCATAAATAACAACTTTAGTAGCTCAAAAGCTTGTTTTAAAGACAAAAACGCTGGTACGGAAAACCAAAACGATGATCACTGCATGGTAAATTTAACCAGTTTTACTGATGTTGTCACACCCATACACGTAAACCTCATGTTCATTTATTCTGAAGCAACTTTCGTGCTACACACGTTCAAGTAACCATGGCTTAATACATTCTGTACAGTTTTGGAGATACTGTTAAACACACATGTTCATGGTTGAAACGAGATATAAACAGCATACATGGCTAGCCACAGCACCAATGTTGAAACGGACATATCTGAAAGGAAAGAAAAGTGAAGTATGTATTAGCTAACGGAGGTTTACAAACTCATTATTAAGATCTGCCATGGTAATTTTTTTATTAACGTAATTATTGTCGCATTATTATATACAGTGTACGTTGATGTAACCACAATCACCGTTGTTCTAATAAAACCACCTATTGTGTATTGAGACTCTGATACTACTTTCCATTCTGTAATCGATCGATTACTAAGTTATGAAACTGATCTTAAAGCGTTTGACTACATTTCATGTAATATTTGATCAAATGTGTAATACTTTTTAATCTCAAGATTTGTAAACAAAATTTACTCAAAAACGTAGACAATCTTCCAGTTCATGAGATATTTAGAACTATATATAGTTGTGTTGCAAAAACAACAGAACAAATTGCATATCTCTTATGCCTTTTTGAATTATACGAATTAATAATGATGTGATATATTTTGTTTTTACCAGAAGCGGAATTTGAGATTTCCAGTGCTGGGTCTTTCACTGTAAAGGATGTAGCTACACGTTGCGATGATTCCACGGTCCCCGAGTTTGATATATTTTTGTTCGTTATATAGCCGTACGTATTACAGTCTGTTTCTATAGAGTCCTCTGGTTTTATCTGTAAAACATGTAGAACATGCCATTACATTAAACCTATCATTACTTCACGGTTTAAATAGATTTCAGATTATAATGGACGGTTTATCAGTATTAGCTGTCAAGTAGGTATTGTAACAGTTGAGCAAAATTCTTAAAAAAAATAGCCACGCTGTTTTAGGAATAATATTCGGCAAAACATTTAATAAATATTTTTATCTGACATCTTGTACATATTGTAGCGTATTGTATGTGTATCTGCCATTTGCAATGTAGGTTCAAATTGTTAACATTGTCAGGGTAAACATTGATATTTGGTTATGTGGAAGCTATATAGGAGATTGCGATTTCTATGACTAAATAAATATACGTTTTCTTCCAAAAATAGTATGTCAGAAATGTAATATCACTAATTTGGCCCAATCGTTTTAAAAGTTAAGTATGTAGATAAGGATATCGTTTGAAAATGAAATCATGTTTATTTATCTATTTGTGGTGGTGGTCGATGGGTGTGTGCATTTCTTTATCAAGTACAAGTCACTTAGATTAACATGAATTTCTATCTTTTTCAAATGATAGGGGTATTATTGTTTCTTTGCTGAATAACAGTTATATTTAGTTCAGGAGATGAATACTTCGATAGTTTAACGAGTACTTTATTTTCGCTGTAAAACCCCGATTTTCACCGGTAAAATGTAATAAAGTACCGTATCTGACACTGACTGATAAAGTACCGTACCTGACACTGACTGATAAAGTACCGTACCTGACTGATAAAGTACCATACCTGACACTGACTGATAAAGTACCATATCTGACACTGACTGATAAAGTACCATACCTGACACTGACTGATAAAGTACCGTACCTGACACTGACTGATAAAGTACCATACCTGACTGATAAAGTACCATACCTGACACTGACTGATAAAGTACCGTACCTGAAACCGACTGATATAGTACCGTACCTGACACTGACTGATAAAGTACCATACCTGACACTGACTGATAAACTACCGTACCTGACACTGACTGATAAAGCACCATACCTAACACTGACTGATAAAGTACATACCTGACACTGACTGATAAAGTACCATAGCTGACACTGACTGATAAAGTACCGTACCGGACACTGACTGATAAAGTCCCATACCTGACACTGACTGATAAAGTACCGTACCTGACACTGACTGATAAAGCACCATAACTGACACTGACTGATAAAGTACCATACCTACCACTGACTGATAAAGTACCATACCTGACGCTGACTGATAAAGTACCGTACCTGACACTGACTGATAAAGGACCATACCTGACACTGACTGATAAAGTACCATACCTAACACTGACTGATAAAGTACCATACCTGACACTGACTGGATGTGCACATATTGACATTGCACTGGATGTAGACTGTACTTGAATACACCAGGTGGAATCCTTGTAATGTCGCTTCAACTATTGACTGAGTTCCCTGCTGATGAAACCCTGCCAACAGTGTTTTGTCTCGAGTGCATCTACAAATCATTAGATTGTAATAACTGTCAATCATTTGCAGGAAAGATTTCCAATTAATGACTACGAAAATGACTTATTTTCAGAAAATTAAAGAAAGCTAATACATTGTATTTCTTAAATGGTGTACGCTGGACGAAATCGCTATCCATGTTTAGTTTCGTGTATTCAACGAAAAGTAAAGGTTTATGTATGTAATACTCTTTATGGTTTTATACATCAATCGATACACTAGACCTCCATGTTGTTCATAAAATCAAAGCTTCACTTAATTAATATGCATATGGTTAAAAAATGTATGTTTCACATTTGTACCCATAGTAATGTTAGAATATTGTAATTTAATTAAAGAATCCTGTTATTGTAATTTTAATGATGAAAAGGACTATTTAATCAATAGTGGAAAGATTAAATGGTTGTTGATTCGTATTACAAGTTAACAATCATTCACAGAGAAGTAAACGTTTTTCACGTTTTCCATTAAGGAAACTGTTTAAGAAACATTAGACCTACCCGTTTTCTATGCAAGGTAAATTAAAGAAACGCTAGACCTACCCGTTTTCTATGCAAGGTAACTTAAAGAAACGCTAGACCTACCCGTTTTCCATTAAGGTAACTTGTCGTTGAAATGTCTCATCACTGGCGGCATAACAGCTTTCAGGAAATAAGGTGTAATTTTCTGAAGATAAACAAGTATATCGATATTGTTGCGAATGGAAGAAGGAGCCGCCCTCTTCAGCTACCAATGTTAACATTGGTTCCTTAAGTTAAGGAAACTATTAATTGAAACCAATATACGTTCGTGAAGCAAGTACAAGGAGTTTTTGTTTCCGGAAAAATGCGTAAAATAACATATTTTCTAGAGTAATGAAAAATGTCTTTGGATTATAAATATTCCAGATTGTCGAGGTATGGATTAAAGAGATTATTTAAGAAGTCTAATGCGCTAACCAAAATGTCCGAAAACATTATTCAATCGGATTATTGTTATTTAGTGATTTTACCCTAAACAGAATACTTAGATATGAAATACAAGTTGCAAATAGGGTAAGAAAAACACCAACAGAATACAAAGTATCTAAAATACCATAATTCAAATGAAATTATTTTCTAGTCAATTTATAATGTCCTTTAAACGAAAAGTACCAAACACAGGCAAACCAGGCGTAGTTCTAATGATACAATCTACGGTACGTAATTAAACAGTGAATTCTTCTTACGTGGTCCGCTGATACGCAAAGTATATTGGCCACCGAGAATGATGTTTCGGATGGATCTAGTCTCATTCACCAAATCCATTATAAGTGTTGATGGCGTATTAGATTCAGACAGCATGACAGAACGACGTGACCTAAAAGAAAGAAAAGGAATTTCTTTATAATTTTTCATTTATGCTATTTGTAATATTCATTACACCACGAAAATAAATGATTAATTGCATATACAACTGTAGTGTCTTGATATTCAACCAACATCTAAAGTTTTATTTTATGATAGTCGATGATTTTATGATCGACTAGTCGATCCTTGAGTAGACAAATACATAGTATATATTGCTTTTGGAAAACAGATTATGTATGACTAGTAAAAAGGGCTTGGAAAAAGCGACATCAACAATCACACCCAGAGAAAGCGACATTGATATTTTAATATTTATTTTAATGATGATTTAGGGGGTTAACGGAACTGTTTGGCAGTGTATGTTAGAAAAGGTAAGAATTGTAAAAAACTGGAAGGATGTTTTATTGCTAAAATCAAAAGTTGGAAAACTATATTTAGTTGAAAATTTACTCGAGAAAAAGAATTTTAAAAAGAAGTACAGAAAATCAATGAAAATATCAGATTGTGTTAGTTGGTTATAAGTTTATCCAACTCGACTTACTTATTGTTTAAGAAGCATAAAGAAACGATATATCATTATAATTTGACAATTAACGAACGAGTTTATGGTTTCAATAGACATGCTAGCTAACTATCATTGATGGATGTGTTTCTTCTTTAAAACTTGTATTGTGTCAGGAAAGAAACACTAAGGTAATTACGCAAATTAACGCCAACAAATTACTCGCAGTGTAATTTAATTTGAAGCATGACGTTGCAAACACGTCATGGCAATATTCGTAAGTCTGGTACCAATATGAAAATATACGCTTTTATAGAGTTAAGTGCTCCAATCTGTGTAAGGTGTGGGTTTTTGTGTAGTGGTCGACGTATGTTGTATTTCCCTCCTCGTGATAGCAAGGGTCTGATGCCGACTTAAGAGTGCTATCTCACTGAAATACCATGCCGAAGTATTCCACCTGGTAATATTATAATGACTACGGGTTATCCAGTTGTTCCGATCTTCCTAAATGATAAAAAATTAGGGTATAACAACTACTATTTCCAAAGACTTTGATATGTCCCGTTCTTCGGACTGAACCCATTGCCATCCTCACCTAGGCTAACGTTCAACATTAAAACCAAACGTGAGGTCATGGAAGGCCAAAGAAAAGGATTGATAAAAAGCTGACAGGAAATATACAGATCAGATGAAAATATACTTACTGAGGAAATTCAATACTACGCTTCATGGGTACTGCACTCGGCGATCTATTCTCGGTATTACAATGTAGAACAAATGTCTGGATAGCTGACGTGTTACTGACGTGGACTGGATCATGGTCATACATATATAAATATATATCTTTGTTCTGAAACAAATTACAATATATATGTAAATACTGTATACCGCGAAACAAACTCAATTTGCACCCAGTCGAAATTTCGCCCTTTACATATAATTACTTTATATATTATGGTTTCACCTACACTAGCTGTAATGATAAATTCGCTCTCGTTACAGAGGGCGGAAAGGCGAAAAATGTAAGTGCGGCAGTATCTTTCCCGGTATACATATAAAGTACATGATTGGTATTCGCAAAAATACATGAAAGAAATGTACTAGAAAATCTTTTAGGAATATTCCTTAATGCACAATATAAGTAATGCAAATATAATATTATTGTCACGGGTAAATAATTTGATATGTCATTGAAATAACTTTTGCGTCATTATATTATGCGAAAAAAATATATGAGGCTGCTCACAAATGATATAATGGTACATTATCAATGATTCACATTACTATCCTTTCGGTCTTACCTTTTCACACCCACTCAGAGTACCATGATCGGTACCGGAAGTGAAATTGACCATGATAGACTGCCTTCCACATACACCTAGCCCATACCGGATTTTACCTACATTATTTCCGCTGAATTCCAGGTCTATCCGTCCATTCGACGCGCATACTTTCAAAATAAAATCAATAATCTTATAATTTTAGCATCACCGGACTATTTCTACCCGTATTAAAGAAACAACATTTGTTGAAGGTCCCGGAAGTCTGGTAAATCATGCAATACATACATGATTCAGCATATGCGTGTAACGAACGATGAAGTTATATTTCATAAATTTAATTAAGTGTAATTAAATCAACCAATTGTAGAACATGTTTGCTCTTGAAACAAATAAAATATAATCTGGACTAGTAAGCTGACTGCCTCTCTGGGGAGTGGTGTGATGGCTTTCTAATATCAGATAATTTATATCCGTCACCCCCACTCGCACACACGATCAACACCTGCACACAAACATTTAAGCTACTTGATAACTTTGTATGCATTGTACTTCATTAACTAAATTAATCTAGATATAAACACATCTAAGTATTTATAAGAAGGTAAACAGAGTGGACTATCAAAGTAAACACAAGATATATACAAATACATCAAAGTAAACACAAATTATATACAAATACAGCAAGGTAGGCTATGTGTATAATTCTGTATTCCTTTTTAAAGGTATGGTGATATTCTGGTTATCTTCACGTTATGGTCGTAGGGTGATGACGCAATTCACTTTGAACGTTTCTGGAGGCCACTCAGGTCATCTGCCCGTGGTATTGACAACGGCAGGATTCAAAACGTATTAATTCCATCAAACATAATCAAAGTACTGCCAGGTATTCAGAGGCACTGACGCGTACTGAAAGCCAATGAAAGGCTTCAGTTATATCAGAGCGATTAGTTGATTTGACGTCATTTCCCATAGTTGACATGACGTCATCTCCATCGTCAGTGTCGTCACATTTTAAAGAGTTAATAACTAGATTTTAAAGAGGAACGATACAGTTCACATTTTATGTTTTGAATTCGATATGGACATATCAATATAACTCACCATATGATAGGATGATACCACGGCCAGGTCCCCTTACCGTACACTCGTTGAATGGTAAGAGGATGAAAACCAGAAAGCACTTCAGCAAAACCGTTAATGAATCCATCCTCTTTCATAGGCAAAAATGCTGATTTCGATATCTAATGAAAGAGATATTGACATTAGTTAAGTGGTTTGAATTAAAAACGATTGCAATACAGATAAGTCTCCGGTTAGTAAATGTATTCATTCAGACAATTAAAGTGTTTATACGTTAAAAGAATAACGAAGACAAAACATTGTAAATGATTATTCCTCGTACAACATGAATATAAATGTTTGGGTTTTCTATACGTGCGTGTAAACGATGAATAATCGGGACTCGTTTATCTAGTCACTACTGATTCAGTTGTTCCTCTCTAAGAAAACCATTATACTATTTGTCCCATTCTAGCTACTATAAACGCAGTTGCCAGAACCAATTCGAGACACATTAGATAGTTTTCCTTTTACGAGATGGAAGCGTTATCTTTCTTAGTAATCCAGTCACAAGTCGGGGATCGCTAGTACTTTTAACGCTGTATACGATGACGTTGTAGTTATAATGTGTTATCTTTAATATTATTTTCTTTTTCTGTACATACTGGATATATACTCTTATAATATATATATATATATATAAAAGCGGAATTTGTATACATAATAAAAAATTAAAAATGTAAGAGCTACTTTACCTTTAGTGTGGGGGAATTGCTTACCAGTTCTGCAATACCCATCTACTGCTCAATACACAAGGTAAAATGTGTTAAATAAATACCATGTTTGCATAAACCATTGTTAGGCGATGTGGTTTTGCCCAAAACTAATAAACAATGATAGTGTAGCTATAAATATACGTATTGTGATAGATATGAATTGAGATAACATTTGTATTGTTATAATTCACATTGACCTACAGTGATTGTAAACGTAACAACTGTTCTATTAACTTCTTACAAGAGGGTATGTGAAACGTTGAAACAAAGATAACAAATAACAGGGTAAAAATTGACTACCAGTTACAAGGAGAACAAATTACTGAAGGACAATAAAGACCACCAGTTACAAAGATACATATTCACTGGTGGGAAATGACTACCAGTAAGGAAGTAAACAAATAACTGGAGGAAAACGAACCGTTAGTATCAAAAGTAAAAAAAGTACCTGGGTGAAAATTGACCACCAACTGTCTATCGGTAACAAAGGATAAGAAACAACTGAGGGAAAACTGACCAACAGAAACAAAGATAAGAAATATATATACCGATATCACAAATAATAAGGCCATAACCTACAAAGAGACATTCGAAATAAAATAATATGCAGTCTGTTAATTATATGTTGCTTGAGAGAATATAGAGATGATCAATTTACTTCCAATACAGTGTATGTAACCATCGACTTGTGTGTTTAAGACAGCCAGTAGTTTCGAAGCCAGATGTATTAAAGAGGTCATGAAATAGTGGATATATTTCCGGACTAATAACGATCTAGGTCCGGAAATACGCTATCTGTACGAAAGATTATGTATATTGTTCTGATTGACAAACTCCGCCTTATCAAATATATACAAATTATTTGATAACCAATAATAACCAATGATCTAATTATAGCGTAATGTCTATAAATACATAAATATAGAAAAAGAATATCTGATGAGCGGTTCTAATATAAATACAATATGATTTTTTTATTTCATCATGACCATACCGGTGCCTCTCCTTCTCATATCATCGGGTAACAGTCTGTTCGTGCATTTATTGCACATGCTTTCAATAATTACAAATTTGACAGGTATCACTTAACATGTCATGATATCCGGAGGTTGTAACAGCTCATAATGTGTGTTGATTATTTATGTACTGTTAGTTGTAACATTTATCTGTACTATCACTGAATAGAGGGAAACTGTGCCGTTTAAATCCATGTTCGCCTAGTATTAATTTCGCCATTTGAATGTAATAACTATATTTTGTATGTTGGGTACGAACTTTTGCTGTCATGAAAAAATCGCCCTCGAAAGTAAAACTGTGGCAAAAATGTCCCGGTATACAGTAGCTAAACATTGATCTAATTAACGTTATAACTAGGTGAACTTCTAACAGTAGAAGCATCAAATAATAAAAAAACAATTAAGTAAATATACGAACAAGGTTGGAACGAAAATCGATATATAATGGAAGCAGGAAAAGAGGAAACAACACATTATGAACACTCATAACACATCAACGTATGATGCAGTGTCCTGTCTCAGTTGTGTACGGCAGCCATCTTGTCTGTTGTTATACTTGCTAGTTATTACTTGTTTGTTTTACTAAGTGACCACAAAGTATTATATTTATGATAAATTGAACTCGACGACATGATATCTACTGTCTGGATTATGTCTGTAGTATAACTAAAAACATAATGCATTGTTTGTAAGGCTGATCCTTGGTGATTTGGGGTAGTGGCAACAAACCCACAAGGCACTCTAATGAACATAATAAGACTATCGACTTTCATATCACACAGAGAAATCGTATTTTTCTCTGCAAGATACTGATGGCGACCATAGACCTTGTCCGTAGTCCTTATCAACCTGCATCTTTAGCAATCCTGTGTTTGGTTATACTCTGTGATACCAAGGACGTGTTAAGAATAACATATTATTCATTTGGTTTACTTACGTATTATAAGTGGCGTTCTTTGGTATTACTTGAGATTTGATTGACCTACAGGTCTTCACATAAAACACCGCCCCTCAAAACAATCTGTTTTGTGTCTTTATTTTGTTATGTTTTTGTTTGTTTTTCAGTTTATAGAAGTATTTTCCGTTAATCAGTATGGTAGGGATGTATCTTACTTCTAAATTATGACATTTTTTAGGACATAGAAACAAAACTGTACTTTTGGGAAGATGCATCTTATCTTTATATAACTGCTGATATAGGATATAGACATCTACGGCCTAATCTGTGAAATCACTATGACATCCGTTAAATGACGCAATAGGTTATAATATTATTTTCTAATGCAAAAGGATGTCAAAAACAAGCAGCACATGTTTTGACGGAATGTCAAGATATTTTCGAAGTAAATACAACTTCACTAAGAACACAGTTACTGACTATATTCTTTTTACTTCACTTGCATTACTTGTTCATAAAAATCATGCAATGTATTGTTTTCTTTTCAAAATGATTCAGGAACTCTACAGCCATGCAGGAGAAGGGTAACATGTGTGGCTACGTATTGGGTAGTAGTACGCCAACCCTTCAAACAATTTTTCATCTGAGTTTTTCCAGATTACAAATATTTATTTTGCCAATAAAAAAATGACAACGATGAATGAACGGGGTATTTGTATATCCTAACGAATTTATCGTCTTCACCAAATTACACACACTTTGTCACAATAAAGAATATATTAACACAAAATACACAACAACAGTAAATTCTGTATCAATTCATCTACAGAAAAGTATTCATTTACAAAGCGTTCTCTCTTAGACTTTCATTTGAAATCACTACTACGTAACTTGATATGAATTTACTGTTTAAAAGAATTTGGCTCATTTGATCTTTATTTTGCCAATACAAAAATGACAACGATGAATGAACGGGGTATTTGTATATCCTAACAAATTTATCGTCTTCACCAAATTACACACACTTTGTCACAATAAAGAATATATTAACACAAAATACACAACAACAGTAAAAACATATTTATTCTGAATTCAGATATTCTGTATCAATTCATCTACAGAAAAGTATTCATTTACAAAGCGTTCTCTCTTAGACTTTCATTTGAAATCACTGCTACGTAACTTGATATGAATTTACTGTTTAAAAGAATTTGGCTCCTTTGATCTATGTACAGTTATCTGGTAATTCGTTTATTAATTGTTTTATTGATTGGACGAAAACACACAGCATTATAAGATCAAATAGAAAGATGAAAAACACCAAAAAACTATTACTTTATATTATATAACTTGCTAAATTTAGACGTTGTGCCTCGTTGTTCATTCACGGTTCTTCTAAAACACATTATATAAAGTGTGTTATGGGCACAGCAGAATAACCCAAAGTTCATCCCCGCATGCATTTGGTGTTCATAAACACAAGAACAGCAACAGCTAACCCAATGATGTAGTTCAGCTCAAATCCCAGTTCTGAAAAAAACATATATACATCATTAACAGGATTTAGAAATATTAATCTCAGCGGTAAAGTCTATCTTAAACGTACACTATGTTAGATATCTTATATATTGTGAAATTCGATATATTCGTGGGAACGACATTTCGTTGGTTTGTACATAAATTTGTTGATTACTAATGCCAATGAAATGTTTCCTTACCCCTTGCTAGTTAATTAATAATCATATTAATAGGCCCTACTGCATCACGTAATGGCTTATGATTATGGCAACTTTGATGCTTGGTATACTTGTACACCCACCTGGGCTTAGTACGATTGTGAGCTACTCTTTATACAAAGGTATTTTATTTGTACCATTTTAACAGCCCAGTTTCTCTACATCTATTGAAAATACATGGTGTAAGTAAACATGCAACGTGATATTGAATTAGATAAAGTAATATCATTGCATTCCACACTCTGTCTCTGATACTTAGGTCATAGTTGATTTTAGCTTAAATGCGTCATTCCTCATGAATCATATACCTATCATATATAACTAAAACCTTCATATTTCATCTGCATTAAATAAGATCCATAATCTACTTCTATTGTCTTTGTTGTAGGGAAACCCGATTCTCTGCTTCCCAAACTTTACCAAGAATGGACAAATACAAGGTTCAAAGATATTTTAATATACCGACGTTGACCAAAAACATGGAAGCATTCATTATCAGGAGAAGATGCTGAGGTCCACCTCCGTAAAGCGTTATTAAGGGATCATAACTCTTACTCATTGTTTAGGGAAGGACCCGAATAAGGGAGTTGTGAACGAGCACGACAGGTAAACAAGACGATATACTTCTTCGTTCTTTGATCATCTGTGTCAAATGTATCTAATCATCTCGTAAATCAAGAAATTATTCAGTAAAAAACCCGAAATGTAACAATTAAGTTACGTATAAGCCATGTTTACAATGATGAGTTATGTTTAGCAAGTCTTTGCATATTACCTAATAAGTCATCTGTATATGACAATATCATGCGTCCAAATGTTCCTCTAAACATGCTTCCAATTATAACTCGAACATAAATACAATGAATATAACATTTGTTTTCCTGATTTTTTACCATGGTTCCATAAGTTGATGTTTAAAGCGAGTATCCATGCATTCAAATTATATGAAAAATATATATTTTGTTGGTAAATAATGATGTCACAAGTTTCAGGGAATTAGTTTGTTAAAATAGACCTGCTTATATATCTACAAAACTGCCGGATGTATACTCTTTAATAGCTACTATTGTTTACTTACGCCCTACGCCACTGGTTAAGAGTGGATCTTTAATGGCCAATGACGTTGTTGCCATTTCCATGGTGACGTCATCTGACAGCCGATTGACCCTCTTTCGCTTAGTCATCCCTTTACAAGTCTGTTTGAAAAAAGTTACAAATTACATGTAATAAAGCGATATTTGATAAAAATACAGTACTGGTCAAACATGGTTATAATTGACTGACAAAAATTGACGAGAAATCAAATCATTAACCATTACTCTATTAAATCAAAATCAAACTAATCATCATTATATAAAGTCAATTATTTCAAGTGTTTTTAAAAATGTGTCAATAAGATCTGTTTTCACCTCACTGTATTACAAAACCAACTATTTGCATGGATAAACATTCATTGTTTAGCTCTCATTGTTCTGCCGACTCATACTTATTCAGCTTACCGCACAGAACCCTAATATTTTCAACAGGTAACAAATTTAGACTTGTGTAACTTTCACCTACCAGATCACATGCATGTCCTTTGTATCCCTCTGGACACACACGCACTGTGCACGTGATAGTTATTGATGTTGAAGACCCCACAAACCGGAATCCATACAGTGTATTCATTATGACATCTGAGCCGTTGGTCCACTTTTCACCAAAGAGTTCTTTGTCGTGTTTACAACTGCAGTGGTTAAAATATCATTAATAATTAATAACTGATAATTATCATATATAATTTATCATTGATTGTAAATGATAAACAATACATTATAAACAACGAAAACATATTTTGTATTTTATTCCAGGAATAAACATTAAAACTGGAGAGAAAAGTATACATATTGTGAAATCAAAGCTTATGGCGCCTATTTGTAATGTTAAATTTGCTGACAAAATATCCAGGTCTCGTGTTAATGTTACCATTATAATGTTTACCTCCAAAAGTCTAAACATTGAAGCCACATTAGTTTTAACACTAGCAACTGATATTAAATAATGCTAAACTTTCCATTCACTGAAATTATTATATGGTGACTAAATGAAGAATAACTGTGGAGCATTTTGTTATAACAAATCAATGCTTAGAGAATTATTACCTGTTGTAAACATAAATTAATCAAGTGAATAATTTTTACTGTATTTCATACATTTTCATATTCTGTTAATTTTATCAACATTATTTCGATGTTTTGGCTATTGAAAAGCTGACTAAGTGTTATCATAGATATATATTAAAATGTAGTGAAAATAATCTTAAGTGGTTTCCTGTCGAATATCAAACAACGATTAGCACCCTTTGACTTCGTGCTTTTCCATAACATATTCGGGATATTGTGTTTTCAGAAGTTCTCAAGATAAGTATCATTAAATAGGTAATGAGTGGCTATAACTACTTTGATCAGGTCACCCTCACTTAACTATAATGGGACAGTATTTGCGGTTTAGAAATAATTTTGCTGAAGATCATCTACATGAACATATTATTGTATTATTAGTATCATTAAGTAGGAGGACCTCTTCAATGAAATACTTCAATATATCTAATTTCCATTGTATTTGCATTTTACAGTTGACATTGGCAGGGTAAAATTGACTGTCTGAAAGTCATGATGGATAAATGCATGAAGCAGGTTAATTTGACCGGGGCTGTTTCAACAAGGGAGTGGTTAATCCATTTGTCTTACCAGTACACTGACTAGTTATCACAGGTTAATCTGTTCAGTCCGACGTCTTTTCTACTTTAGTAGGATACTAGAGATAACAACGTGTAAACACTTAGCCTTATCATCTCTAGGGTGTTAAGTACACATAACAGGAGGAGTGAAATATATAAACATTACGACAACCTCGCTACAAATATGATCAGTGTTCACATATAACATGGCGCCCTAACAATTCTCCCGCTGAGCTATATTGGGGTAAAATGTCTCGAGATAACAAGATAGACACTTGAAATCTGATGTTTCGTTTAAAGAAAATTTCGCTTTCCCAGTAATACCGATGGAAAAAGTCACAATCTTCATGGTAGTAAAAATTGTTTTGGCGTTAAATGAAATGACAAATATTAGAAGAAATAAGCAAGGTGTTCTCAATAATCTATTACACTTTGCTTATTTTAGAAAGAAAGTTATTAATTGGTCATATGTGGAAATGTTGTTTTAAATTTTAGTTAAACTCCATAGCATAACTGCGTTTTAGTTGAAATCTAATTAAAATGTTGAAAGTTCCGCAAAAAATATTCAGTAACAATTGGTTGTTATACAATATTTACGATCTTCATAGTATAATTTGTTCCGCAAATATTACAACCAGCGTAAACAGCAAATTCATATATCGTTACCGCTGCAATATGTGTCATGGCCACAAGACCTAAAATAATTGAAGGAAAAATTCCCAGCAATAGGCAATTTTATGAAACTAACAAAAACGAGGAACCGCAAAAATTAAGACTGTTACAGTATTTTTTATTACAATCAACACGATTTTAGAGGTTACTGCATATGAAGTTATACCAGTATAGTGAGGGAGTTGTCAGGCGTATGACGATCATTACCTGTCCTTTACGGCACATCAACGAAGAAGTGGTCATTAGGACCAATTAATAGTAGAAAAAAAATGTTAAAGGAAATGGCATAAAACAGACGAAAATAAAAAACACAAACCTTAATTTGAAAAGTAAATGTGCTTGTGCTTAGTTATATACTTTTGAAACGATCAGCAAATATTTGGTATGAAAGGAGTGTAGAGACATTTACTGGTTCAAAAAAGATTTTATATTTGTTATACTTTAAAAAAAAATCCAGTGTTGGCTGTAGTCAATGCAACTCTTAATGGTTCTTGATATGCTATTCAGTGAGGCTGGTCTTCGGGCTTTAAAAAAATAAGAATGGGTAATGTATAATGACTCATCCGGAGACGGGCAATTACAGCCTCGTCTCATCAGCGGTTTTCTCTATTACTGGGATACCGTTTAGGCGTATGAACAATTCTGATTGAAGAAATACTAGATCAATACAATAAATAAAGGAGAAAACTGTTTTATTTCTAAAACTATCTCACGACCGATACAACCCATCTTTAAATAAGGTAGTCTTCTGGCAGGGAAAACTGAATCGATGTTTAAACTAAATGCTACATATTCAACATTCAGTAAACATCCTAGACTAAAATGTGAAAACAAACATGATACTGAATATGATCGGGCTTGGAAATGTTCGCACAGGGCAGTAAGTTCTGTTAGATGTTAAAGTTATACCTTTTATGTCACGTAGTCTTTCGCCTATTGTGTTTAATATTGACAAGACACATGTATTAACCTCTACTTATTCACAGTGAATAATATCTAGACATCATCATACCCCCTCCCCCACTCTATCACAGTGTACGACACCGTAATCTAGACATACTCTAGACTAAATATCTGCTTGTATATATTCCGTCTTTGCGTATTGCAGAGTTATCTTCTCTTTGGAGCAGGTATTGATTGTTACGTCATTGGTTTGTGCGAGAAAATTATGTCGTTTTCTCAAAAATTTATGACGTTACTCTCACAAACAAGTGACGTAACAATCGACACCTGCTCCCAAGAGAAGATAACTCTGCAATACGCAAAGACGGAATACCTCTAATTATATCATGTTTCCCTCCTCCGCAAAATATGCATCCTCCTCCAGACACGTCATCTCACCGTCCTCCACTCAATATTTAAAATATGTTCTTGCCTCGGTAGATTACACATTGTAAAGCATTGCCTTGACTTTCATTACAATTTCTCCCACAACCACTATAGGTTTCCACACTCCTGATTCATTGGATAAACCTGCTAGGAGTTGGTAAACATTTTTGGTTACCCACCAGCGGGTAAAAACCTGGACGTGATTTCACTCCATCTTTTTACTTATGACGTCACGTCAAAATATTTTGCGACGTCATATTCCATTGTGACGTCATGATTCACGGCAATTCCTTCTCTCTCTCTCTCTCTCTCTCTCTCTCTCTCTCTCTCTCTCTCTCTCTCTCTCTCTCTCTCTCTCTCTCTCTCTCCCCCTCCCCCCCTAACATATTCTCTGATTATAGAGTATGGCGTCTAGAATGTGTTAACTTGTCCGTTTTGACAATGTAATATAGTTAGTTAACATAGATATATTACCCTGTCTCCTGCCATAGTAGCACGTCCTTGCCATTTCCTGTTGCCTTACATTCCGTTGGTTTGATGCTCGCTTTACCTGCAACAAAAAATCAATTTAAACCTAGTTCAAATTCCAAACGAAAAATACACGGATTTTCATTAATATCGCATGGAATGTGAACGAGTTTGTATTTCTTTTTACTTATACTGAAGCAAGAAAACAAAACATGCTTCATCAACTTTATTTTTAATATTTAGACTAAAGGATGTATAGTATATCTACCACCAATTTTATCTTTTCTGTTGTAAAAGTTTCATATATTAAAAAAAATAAAAAATATCCAAAAGTTATCCTTTGGACGAAAATAGCGATATGAAAATATCACATGTTTATAAAAATACATAGTTTTCAGAGAGGCATCGCTGTAGGTGCTCTCTACATCCCTGGAATATTTCATAGCAAAATTGAAGCCACGAAGATAGCTATTTGATTGGTCTCAGATAATAAAAAACTGACCAATCGACAGGCTGATGCATGTCCTTTGAAGATTACAAAGGAAAGATGCCCGACTTAAAATCCTGTCAACCTTTACCGTTACGTGACCGCGAGATTCTTTAGATGTATATCAAAGGATCGAACTAGTCTCCTTGTCTCATCAACAAGGTGGCGCACACCGTGCCTTAAATTTTGCTATGACATATACCAAGGGTATGGAGAGTGAAAGTGAGCGTAACCCCTGGATATCGAGGATATTGATTGACGCCACGTATGTTACTTAACAATAACAGCAACAACAAAAAAACAACAACAAATACTTCAAGTGTCTCTACGTGTAAGAAAGAGATATGTGTCCACCATCGGTTTTTTCTTATGTGAATACATAGAAGATATACTTGATTTTTCTACCAATTTTATCATAAAATTGTTTGTTATAGTCAGATATTGTTTTTACCCGGGGTTGTAATGGCAATCGTTAATTCCTGGCCGATATAGGCTTCGGTAACAACATTGCCGCCAGTATTATTGTCTTTAACGGTCATATTCAGTGATGATATAGGAGAGGGTGTAGATTTTGTTGCCATGGTGATGACGTTAGGCATTTCGTGACCACTGAAAAGAAGAAGATACCAATATCATGTTGTAGTTGTTATCAACAAAATATCAAGGGTATTTTTCTACTATTAACTTATGCTTTAATTGGCAATATCAACCAGCCTGGGAATGATTGCCAAACTTTAACACAATATCTTTAAATTTATCTTATAATGGCGGTATATTTCTTCCATCGACTCATGAGATATGTATGTTGACTTAATTTTAAAAAAGATATCGACTCAATCTTTGAATATACTGATATAATGTTTGTACGTATGTTGTAATATTTCAACTTTTGCCGAGATAATTCGGATGTCATTTCGACTTTATTAGGTCATGCTAAGTAAAACAAGGATTTTCAACAAAGCGTTTCCCAATAAATCATCATGGAATATACTACTAGCTTCTAGTGATTAGTTTAACTCAACAATACATCTCGTTATAGTTTCGTATATCGACAATATGAACTAGATTTGTAGGTGACAGGTCAATGTCACGACGATAAGTAGCCGTGATACCTACTAACGAGATAAATGAATTTAATCAAAATGTCAGCAAAAGTAAAAGAATCAATATCTTATATATACTTTTTCAGTAGCTATTGTTTTGAGCAATGTATGACTAAACAATTATATGAATATTTACCCGACGTTTTCGTTGGCTGTTACGTTTAGGAAGTATGGTTTAATGTTCACATCTTCACATTTAATCTGGAAGGTTTTGGAATGAAGCCCACCGAGTATTTCTGTTTCGTTTGTCGCCTCAAGTACAATATCGATTGTTGTGTTCTAAGAAATGAAGCATATCATTATATCCCACACGTACAATGTTGTTTTGTAAAAGTATTTATATATCTGTTTTAAAAATATTAGTGAATTTGTTCTCAGAATAATTTGATATAATAAATCCATGCAATGAAATTATTACTTGACTAGAACGTTTTGAAAAGTGTCAATGAATGTCTAACAGAACACAATTTAAGACCCATGATAAAAAATATATCAATTATATCGATGGTTTGGAAAACAAAATCTAAAAACAGTTTATTCAAACATATAAGGTATAATTGGTACATCAATATTTTGATTTGCAATTTTCTCGCCAATAACCATTAGCAGTAATACCATACCACCCCACCCCCTCCCCACAAAAAAAGGTCATCAGTTGCGGTCAGTAAATTATTTATTGCTTATCATTTTTTTTCATTCTAATTTTACTTTTGTTCAAATCCCTGTCCTCGAATAGAAATGTGTTCTATGGGACATGTTTTGTTACAACTTATACAATGATCAATGCGGATAATCGTGCGACAATCACCGTTGCTGATACACGTGAACATAACAGCATGTCAAATTGAAAAGGGGCGTGCGACAACGACGTAATTCTGACTCGATTTTGAAATAGTTAATTTCTGAAATTAATTTTTTTTTAAAAAATTCACTCACCTTTGTGCAATTAGCTAGCATAACTGATCCATCCCCTAGTGTCTGTGGATCGGCACAGTGACCTGATGACTGGTTGAGATAATCAATTATCACATTGGACAAGGAACTTCCATTGTTAATTATTTCAATTCCTCCGTCCTCAGTGCAGTCTTAAAATTAAGAATCGAGAAGATTTATCAGTCAAAATGTTATAATTATATTACCATTATAATGTATTTAACGGTATAGGTGAAGTAGATTTAATTCAAGCTAAGCTTATTATTAGTGACAAGGACACAATTTTATAACACAGTCATATATATATAGTTCTACAATGAAAATGGTAAGTGGTTAATGAAAGAAATACATAAACACGTTATAAATAAGATTTTCGTACAATCTACCTACTGTAATAAAACGTGTCCGGAATAAGAGTTGAAGCTGCAGCTACAGATTGGGACTTCGTTGAGGTTTTAGAAGGGGGATTTGGAGTCGTTGGAGTTGTTGTTGGTGCTGTTGAAGGCTTTGCAGTCGAAGGTGCTGTTGAAGGCTTTGCAGTCGAAGGTGCTGTTGAAGGCCTTGCAGTCGATGGAGACGTCGAAGGTGCTGCTGAAGGCTTTGCAGTCGATGGAGACGTCGAAGGTGCTGTTGAAGGCTTTGCAGTCGATGGAGTTGTTGTTGGTGTTGTTGAAGGCTTTGCAGTCGATGGAGACGTCGAAGGTGCTGTTGAAGGCTTTGCAGTCGATGGAGACGTTGAAGGTGCTGTTGAAGGCTTTGCAGTCAATGGAGACGTCGAAGATGCTGCTAAAGCTCCCAGGGATGCAATAAAAACCTATAACCATAAAAAGTAAGTGTAGCGAAATGTAAAGCAAAAACTTGTTTGTTAAAGACAATATATATGCGTTTTTTTTTTGAAATGATGAATTTATTTTTGTTTGGCTAAACACGTGTTCCACATACGTTTTGCGATGTATTCTGATCTATGTGGTTTAAATAATTTTGTAATGAAATGATATATCAGTATTTAGTTAATTCATCACTAATAAATAAATCACTCAACTTTGCAAGAATCTTTGAGCTTTCAACTTAGCGTAACGGCTTATTCACAGCACCCATGCGCCGTATGGAAAGGTTAACGCTAATGTCCTGATATCGCACAGCTATTACAAACCAAATTAATACATTACAGAAATATATATTTTTAAAGTTTTTTGATCACATATCATATAAGCCTGAGTAGCTCTGGATACAGTATGTACAGATACCACAAAAGATCATACTTGTTTTGAAAATCACAAGCTGATTAAGTTACACAAAGAGGGATTAATTGTTTTGTTTGTAAAACATTGTTGATGGGTCGGTAGGACCTGCCCCAATTTGCAAGCAGAAAAATGACTGCAGAACACAGGGGGAGATAATGTCTCGGGCCAGAGTTTTGCGACCGCTGGCCGCATTAGACAGGTGACTGCTTATTTCAGGTTCATTATATAGTTTTTTTTTCTATCGGACGGACCACAGACTAGCCACATAAGGGAGGTGGCTGCTTATTTCAGGTAACCGCTGAAGCAGGTTTAACTGTATCTGTGAAACAAAGCATGTTTTTAAAAATAAGTAGCACAGAGGTGTGTATGCAGTATGATTTAGGGAACACTTGTGTTTGTACTTACAATAAGAATGTACATGTACACCGAGATATGCCGAGCCATCGTTAATGTCTTACGGATTCTGCTGAACTGAAATACCAAAACATTAATTAGATGTGAACAAATTATTAGACGTGATATTTGCAGATGATTTGTCAAGGACTTGAAATTCCTTTTGCTTACAAATTATGAATATAGATGCTAAGATATGTAGATATAGCTAGGAAATTGCTCTGATTTTGATGACAGTCAGTTGTCACATGTTTTAAAATTTCAGCGACAAAAGTAAATAAAATTTTGATGTGTGATTACATATAAAGACTTCACATCAACCAGTCGGATTCATATACAAGTCCACTTTCATTGTATCTGGTGAGGAGAGGAACAAGAGAAATGTAAATAGGATGATAACATTAATGAGATATGTATGCTTATGTTCAGTCTGGCCGGATTATGAACATTGCTGAAACTTGTCACAAATGGTGCACATTGATAAACTTAATGTAGTGGGTTTCTTTCTGCATGTACAACTATTGTATTACATTTTCAGAGCTAAACTCAGTCATTTTTACATTAAGTGCATAACATGACTAACAAATGATACAATATAAGATAAAATGAGTGTTACAAATAAAGGTATTTACCTTTTAAAACTGTTTAAAGCTCCCCTCCTGTGCACCGTTGACCTAACGCAACTTCTTATGACTCTAACCTTTTATATAGAGGCCCTGATAAAGTTATTTGAATATTAGCATCATATATAGACAGTCATTGGCTAGTGGTACGATGTTTAAACGTCTCTTCCACGAATTCAAACGGGTAATTTGAGATTGTGTAGGGAAACTGGAGGTTCGCTTTATTGTGAACGTTTACGGACACTTCATGTTGCCTGTCGTTACTCTGACCTGATTGGACAGCGCGTCTGTCACATTTCTAGGCGTGTGACCTTTTCCTAGAGATTCCTTCGTCATTCATACGTTACCAACACCAGGTGCGTCTATGGTATCTGATTAGTGATCGCAGGTCCTTATTCATACCATTGACATTGATAAAGATAAAGTATAAGGTAGACATGAAAGGTTTCAATCTTGATAGCCAGAGTAGACTAATATTAGTTTATAGTAAGTTAAAAATAAAAAAATGGATATTTAATGTTTGTAAGTATATCAATAATATATAACAGGGCCAAAAGAGCAAAATTTAAGACAATTAGTATAATCATGTTTGAACTACCCCCTTAACTTACACTAATATCAATTAGTCTTTTCCGAGAATCTGTTGAATTGCGGCGACTCGTTATTTCAAAATAGGACATCATTTATGTTTTTAATTTTTAAGCATACTATTACACTATTACTGGCCAAATGAAAAAATACAAATAAATAAAAATATCTTAAAAACATGATGAATGCCCTGCTACACTTTTATTCCTTTTCATTCATTTTGTGCTGATGATCAGTTGACGTCATGTTTAGATATCTGTCGGGTAAATATGGGATGATGTTTTAAGTGTACGTGGTTGATAGCGACGATAGAAAGTCGGTGGAGGATTTAAAGTAATTTGGGAGACAACGGGGCACTATGTGCAAGATAATATATTGATTTATAATCGTAGTTCCTTTATTCATCAGAACTAAGAATGACCTTTTTTGACGACAATACATTTTGTTGCGTGGAAGTGGAAAATGTAAACGTTTCAAGATACTCGATTACCAAATATTATGACGGAAATGTATCTGCCTTCCTTTTTTGCGCATGTATATTCCTATTCATGATAACTTTAATAGAATGCTATATATATAAATGTCAATTCGCTGAATGCAATGTAGCCATCCTATTTAATCGAAAACGACAGCGTCGGTAAGGGGACAGAAACGTATTCAGCCCTTCGATAGTCGTCATGCGACATATAAGGTGTCACATTATTTTCTTATAAACAATCTTCAGATTGATATACTATCGCTCTAACCGAATTACCTAACTGGTCAACGGAGACTTCATGTACCAACTGTTTCTACAGTTATATCCAAACGGAAGTGCACTGGGATTGGGATCCGAAAGTCGAACAGACAAGTTACACAATCAATTTGCATGTTGTAATTTCAAAACAAGCTTACGATACAAAAACATATTTATATCCAGTTTCGCTGTTACAAAATATTGTGCGTTTACGCTGACAATTATGTCGACTTACATTTTTCTCTTAATCAATTCCATATTTTTACTAGTTTTGCTCACGTTCATTTTTACCAAATGATACCTGGCCTATGGCCTTCAAGAGGAAACTAACTCAATTGTCCATAGTCGATGAATGATAACATTTTCTCTCATTCCCCTTTGTGTAAGATAGAGCTGTCCAGGGTAAGAAAGGGGTGAAGGAAATGTCTAAGTTACACCCCATTTCACGTGACGTGACGTCACAATGGCTCAACAATGACGTGACGTCACGAATTTGGAACTCTCCGATGTCGCAATGCGATTATCTTTTTTTGCGCAAACTATGTTTGCAAATATGGGATATGAAAATATGTTTGGCTGATTCGTTTTCGTCTAAAAAGCTCACTTGAAAATTTGATATTTTAAAATGGTGGCCAGTCCAAACACTTTTCATGGTTTCTGAGCTCTGAGGTTTTTTTATTGGTTGGAATGAGAGAAAAAAATCTTTCATACTCAAGGGTGTAGGTTAGAGAAATTTCACCCTCAGCAAGCCCTCGGGTTTTACCAAATTTGAAAAGCCCTCTGGTGTAATGTCCCTATCCTATACCACTGGACATGAAAGAGTCTTATAATATTGAGCTAACAGACATTTATTAATATTTGAATATTCTTAAGATTTAAGAAGATCTAGTGTCTCGTGTGAAAAGGAAATCTGCGTAATATGTGTATAAAAGGAGTGGTTTGTGTACATAGACGTGCCAACAGAAGAATGCTTTGTCCCCTGCATGGCGGTACAAATTAATTAAATTGCCTCAGATGTAGATTTCACCTGTCAAAATATTGTTCATACCTGTGTTGTGGCATGGCTTCTAAGTGACCTTTGGGTATAATCTTAATGTTTCAAAGATCTCAGCGCGAAATTTAAAACCAGTGTTATTTCATTGCAGGTGTTGACACTGTGTATGTAACCTTACTTATATTAGTACATTCATGTTTTAGCGCATTGTCGATGTTTGTAGTAATTGTACACTGAATAATTAACTGATATGTAATAGAAAACAATAAATTGAAACTTCTCTTAGCGCAGGCAGGATTCAGCATAGTATATTATCTCAGAGCAAACAAATACATAACATGTAAATTGACGGGTAATTCAATTTTAACGATTTTCCAGTTAAGAATTTATCTTTGTTTCCGGTCTTCTACTAAGGGGACATTCAGGGAACAAAAATAAACCTGATGTATGTCATTGCATGTTGCATATACGTAAGAGGCGAGTAATGAGACCACTTTGGAGAATCAGTAGTTCTTCTGTATATTTCACTAACAAAAAACATGCTTACATTGATATGGTGTACCTACTAATCATTTTTTTAAATCTATTTTATCTATTATCCTTAAACCCTTGCCTATACTTTTTTCTTTGGCGTTGTCTGTCCAGGTGTCCGTCGTGTGGAGGACGCGAATCCCCAATAATAAAAATCAAACAAAACTTTACAGTGTTGGTATAATGTATCAGTCTTCCGCAGCCTTCTGCAGCAGAAGTGCGAATGTTTTCTTCTTGTGTGACAGCAATGTAATATTATATATGAATAATAATCCAATAATGTATACTGGTGATCTATTGATCAGCTACGATTTCGGCTTTTGTAGCAGATTTTAACATCAAGTGTGACGCCAGGCATACATATAATCACCTTCATTCTGAGCTATAGTAGTTTGACTGTGAAACGACAGGATATCAGTACAAATAACAGATTTTTGTTTTTAAGTAGAATTTGATTGGTCAATCGAAATATTTTATGATTGTATTGCAAATGGCAGCTGATTGAGATTGATTGTGACGTAAATGTGATACTGCCGTCACCTTTTTTACGATAAAATGATCAATATCAATATCATTACCCCCCCCCCCCTTCCCTAAAAACAAAACAACAAACCACACCATTTTGCATGAATGCGTCGATTTAGAGTACCCTCTCACAAGGAGAATGCCTTTATATCAAACTTGTAATTACTTCGTTGAACGATGAATTCGTGGATGAAGATCACCCACGAAATAAAATACCCTACGAAAATGAGTGATTTCACAATGAGAATGTAGAAAAACAGTCAAGTTGACTTCATTTATTGGTTGAGTACATGTTTGTTTGTCCGCCACAGTCTGCCCAAAATCAGTTACTGAAAACAGGAATCTTATAATTATTTGGTTAACGAAATCTGGCTTTATTGCATTAAACGACTTAAATATAACTAAGCGTACTGGATAGTTTATGCTGATGGTTATCCAGATGCAAACAAAAGTAACATTTGTGTTCCAGTTCCAGGCGGCGGTGCAAGATAGAGAATCGTCACCTGAAAGTCTACCAATGACGTCACCTGTGTTAATAGCCAATAACTGTCATCCAGGTGGTTGCACGAATGTTTGATATGAGGCTGAATATCTTAGTTGAATACAACTTTGTTTAAAATGAGTACAGTTTGTTCGCAAGTATCAACCTCACTAGTAGAAGCCAACGGTAAACACGTGCTTATTTTTAACCTGTCATAGGCAAACTCAAAGAAATATATGAAACATAATTTACATTATACATAATATACACGGCGTTATACCAAATTTGCTATTAATTTAAACTAATTAAACAAATCGAACACAGTTTTTGGTTCCATGTTTATTTTAGATATACTCGGGTGAGAACAATACACAAAACAATTAAAATGAAGCGTAATAATTAATGGATACGCATCTGATTTTCTTACGCATTATACCATTTATGATATATATCATGATGAAATTTCAATCATTGAACAATTCATCCTTCCTTATTTAATTCAAACCTTCTGACCTATAAATATGTAACTAACTTAAGGCCCTAACAGAACAAGGAAACCTTACAAAAAGGTAACGATAAATTCTTACGAGTTGTCTCCCT